AACATTCTTTGATGGTTATGAGAGTGGGGAGGGAGGGTGAGGGTTATTCACTAACTAGATAGTAGATAAGAATGATCTTAGGTGAAGGGAAGGACAGCACACACTACAGGGGAAGCCAGCACAACTGGACTAAACCAAAGCTAAGAAGTTTCCTCAATACAGTCAAATACTTTGAGAGACAGAGTAGCAGGGATGTGGGATCTGGGGGCCATGCTTTTGGGGACATCTATGTCAATTGACATAACCTTATTAAGAAAATTTTCTGCATCCTACTTTGGTGAGTGGTGTCTGGGGTCTTAAAAGCTTGCAAGCGGCCGTCTAAGATGCATCAATTGGTCCCAACCACTTGGAGTAAAGAAGAACGAAGAACACCAAAGACACAGGAAAGTATTGGCCCAAGAGACAGAATGGGCCACATAAACCAGAGACTTCATCAGCCTGAGACCAGAAGAACTAGATGGTGCCCGGCTACCACCAATGAACATCCTGACAGGGAACACAACAGAGGGTCCCTGTTGGAGCAGTAGAAGGATGGGATGCAGAACTCAAATTCTAGTAAGAAGACCAGACTTAATGGTCTAAGACTGGAGGCTCCCCATAAGGCATGGCCCCTGGTCTCTCCATCACCCCAGAACTAAAACAATTTCCTAGGCCAACTCTTCAGACAGGGATTGGACTGGACTGTGGGACATAAAGTGATACTTGTGAAGAATGTGCCTCTTAGACAAGTAGATATAAGAGTCCATAGGGGCGGCTTTTGTCCAGAGGTGAGATGGGAAGGCAGACAGAATTAGGAGCTGGTTGAATGTTCATGGGGAATCGGGCGGAGGGGAGGAGTGTGCTGTCGCAGAATGGGGTGAGCAGTTGGAGTCTCATAACAATGTAGGTTAAAAAAAAAAGAATTCTGTATGGGAGACTAACATGAAATGTAAACTTCATTTAATTACAACAATAAAAAAAAGAAAAAAGAAAAGAAAAAAAAAAAAGAGCTGGGAAAAATATACCAAAATGAAAATGATTGTGTTAGGTTGGATGGAATTATGGGTAACATGATTTGTATTTTTCAAAGTTCCTGTAGTATCATGAGATAATATTTACAATTAAAAAATACTCTGTGTAGGGACAATGGTGACACAGTATGAAGTATGTGCCCATTGTCCCCGAACTCTACATGTAAAAATTGTTGAATGGGTGTATGTTTTGTTGTGCATATTTTCACTAAATTTTTTTTAAAAAGTAATGAATCTATATTTGGACACCAAAAAAAAAAAAAATCTGTTTTAAAGTAAAATGAACATTACCTTCTTTACATTAAATAATACAGAAACATTCTATTTGAATTTCAGGAAAAGTATTCCCTGGGATCATTCGAGTGGCAGAATCAGAAACAGCTGGCTTGGAAGATAAAAATTCTATGGCCTATCAAAACTTCCATAATAAAATTAATGACTTTGTAAGTATTTTCCAACCTTCTTCTCCATGTAAGTGTTTTTTGTTCTAACACCGAGTTGGCACACGCTGATAGAGCTGTTCCAGTTGTTCAAATAGTGAAATGCACCCTTCCAAAACCAAAAACCAAACCTATTGCCGTGGAGTCGATTCCGACTCACAGCAATCCTATAGGACAGAGTAGAACTGCCCCATAGGGTTTCTAAGGAGTACCTGGTGGATTCCAACTGCTGACCTTTTGGTTAGCAGCCAAACTCTTATCCACTATGCTATCAGGCACCCTTACTGGCTGGTAAATAGCAACTCCCCTGAGCCCCCTGGGTGCCACTGCTTCCTCCCTTCGCCCTCCTCCCACTAGCTGGCTGTTCCCTTGGGGTCCTTTCATCCTGCACCTAGGGGTATCACACCGCCTTTCCTTTCTAAGCTTACTCCAGCCATGCTATACCTATTGTTAGGTAAGCTATTAACCTGTTACCCGCTGTCGTGCAGTCGATTCCAACTCATAGCGACCCTATAGGACAGAGTAGAACTGCCCCCATAGGGCTTCCAAGGAGCCGCTGGAGGATTCGAACTGCCCACCTTCTGCTTAGCAGTCTAGCTCTGAACCACTGTGCCACCAGGGCTCCTTAAGCTACTAAAGACTTCTTTAAATGGACAGATAAATACTTAAAATCTGTGAAAGCCAGAAAGTGTGTAAAGTAGAAAACTGTCAGAGAAGGAGAACTCAAATAGTTTCCACTAATAGAGAGCAATAGAAAAGTGGTTAAGACTATATGCTGTCAAAGGCGGAAAACTTGCGAGACCCGGAAAAACAAGGCAGTCCCCTCGAGTTTGGACTCTCACAGGTTTCACTGTATAATGTATTTTAAAATGAATTATTTCTACAGATTGCAGGAGAAAAAAATTTAAAGATGTTGTTCTTTCTTTTTTACATTAAATTTGCATAAATTCCCATACCAGTCTGGCTTTTTTTTTTTTTAACAGCTAAAATAGGAAATGGAACCCTAGTGGCACAGTGGTTAAGAGTTGCTATGAGTCAGAATCCACTTGATGGCAACAGGTTTGGTTTTGGTTTTGGTTTAAAATAGGAACTCCAGCTGAATTGATGCCGGTTACTTTTTTTCATTGTCAAAAATGTTGAAAAGAACAACAGCTTCATTTCATTTGGATTGTGATAAAGGAGAGTGATGTCAGCATAACAGGGATAGATATCTCCATTCTGGAACCACAAGGGTTAGATGTGGAAGAATTCTCAGAGACCACCCAGCCAATGTTTCTCAAAGTTTGGTTTTAAAGGGAAAAAAATGTTAGCCCGTAAATATGTCTTGGAACCCTCAGCAGAGAAACACTTTAAAAACATAAGTCTTATTCTATGACAATGTTTTTCAATTTAGAATTATATCATTACTAAGGAGTTTTGTGATTGGAACTGGTAAAACTTAAAAAATGATGGTGGAAATGGTTTTGCAGATTTGACAGAGAGAGCTAGTGCTTGTGACTGCATAGCGTGGCTGGCACTCCTGGGGTAAATCCTGAGGCCTGTGTGTCCCAGGGCTTGTCCTTTCCCTTTGCCATGCCACATCTGCGTGATGGGCCAGCTGGCAAAGGCTCATCCTCTTACCCTGGACCTACATCTAACCTTACCAGCTTGGATGATATTCAGTACATTGAAGAGGGCAACATCAACATGTTCCTACTTCTAGGGAACCCCTGGATTGTCTCATGTGGTTTTACTCAGCACTGGCCACGGTGGCCACTATCCAAACTTGTTTTGGGTATGAGTGCCACCAAAGCCCCCTCCAGCTGCAACCCTCATCACCTGGTCTTCACAGACCAGCTTAGAGATGTGATCTCAGTCAGGGCTTCCTGGTCCCAGGAGGAGCATTTCGGAGGGGTTTTTAATCCAAAAAGGATAGACCAGAACTCCCTTGGAATCCCTGAACTAGAGATAGGAAAATAGAGACAATTTACTTCCTTCAGGATCCTCTTGACAGACGTTGTGGCCAGGGCAGAACCAGCTCAGGCCCTAAGAAATCTCCTCAAGTCCATTTCTATTCAGCTGGATCCAAATGGACAGTCCATACAGGATCTGAAGTTGCTCTGTTGCTACCATTTATTGGGTACTCTGCCTGGCATTTTACACATAATAATTCTAATGATGAAAACAGCCCTAAGAGGAAGACATTACTATTGTGCCCATCTTAACAGATGAAGCAGTTGAGAATCACTACAGTAACTGGCTGAAGGTCACCCAGCTGATCACTGAGGAGGACAGGATCTGAGATCAGACCTGCCTGACCCCTGAGCTGGTTCTCTTTCTCCTCATCTGCTGGCTCTGTTGTGCAATAGAGCTGGCAGACCCATTTGGGTAGGTCCTACCTTCTTGTCCAACCTTGAAGCCCTTCGGATTTAGAGATGTATGTGCCAACACCCTCAAAGGATGTCCTGGAAGAGGGGGAGAAAATGGAAATACTTTTCTAAACCAGATTCTAATTTCTTAATACCTTCTTTAGGATTAAGAAAATTAGATGGGCAATGATCAATAGGGAAGCTGGAAGGATCTTTGAGATCATCCAGCAAACTCATTCCTAAGTGGAACCCCTCTAATGGTTTACAGAGATACTAATGATCCCTAATATTTAAAATATTATTTGAAAGTCATTTGGACTTATCGTGGATATTAGGCTAACCAGACTAACTAGGGCATCAAACATATTTAAATTTGACTAGAATTAAAGAGAAATAATTTAACTACACCTTTAAATGCCATTGATTGCCATGATCGTTTAAAACATTGAGATTCCCATGAGGAGAAAAAGAATAAAAGGGTCATAAGTAATGGAAAGAGTCCTGGTGGCGCAGTGGTTAAGAGTTCGGCTGCGAACCAAAAGGTCGCCAGTTCAAATCCACCAGCCACTTCTTGGAAACCCTGTGGGGCAGTTCTATTCTGCCCTATACAGTTGCTATGAGTTGGAACCAACTCAACGGCACCTAACAACAACAACAGGTTGCACTGATCTGGTTCAACATTCTTATCTAATAAAACTGAGGCCCATACAGGGGAAGACACCTGTCCAAGGTCATGATTATGTCTTTCACATTTATTCATTCAGTAATCAGTCAACAAGGGCTTGTGGAGTATTGCCAAATTGTAGGTGCTCTGGGGAGAGGAAGAGGTTGTGTCATAAGAAAGAGAAAACCCTGTTCTTGGCATCAAAGAATTTATATTCTAGTTGGGGCCACCTCCTCCTTGCCCCTCCAGAAGTCCCAGCTTTATATCTGGCCACTCCCCTACAAGTACTTTGAGTTGTTTGTTCTTGGTACACAACCAAAATCTCATAATAACCACCTGTGATGGAGCCCCTTACAGCTCATAAGGCCGTGTAGCACATATTCTATCTCATTTCACATACATTATGGCCTTATGTGGTGGGAATTACTGCTATCTCCATTTTTCCAATGAGACAAGTGAAGTTGAAAGAAGTTAAAGTATGCGGAAGCTTGAAATGGAGAAATTCTCCTTTAGCCTCAACAAATCCTGTGTTCTTCCCTGTCCAGCCTGCTCCCTTCTGGGCCACACTGCCTCTGAACATTAGAGTGTGCGGTTCCTTCTTGGGAGCCTGTCCCAGGCTTACCTTTTGAACTGCTTTAAGGCCCATCTTCTTTATGAAGCCCTCTCTGGTTCTCTGCAACCGAAAGAGAGTTTCTTTGAGCTTCCTTGAGAGATGGTATCTCTCTATGCCGCTTACCTCTTTTAGCTTCGTGATGTGGTCCCCCACTTGATGATAGGGCTGAGTCTGCCCATCTTTACAATCTCTAGGGCCCCTAGCATAATGCCCTGGGCAAGGTAGGCAATTGCATACACGTGTCTTGGGTAAATTGATGAAAGCCCGAAGCACATATATAGATAAGTCTAATGAACATGCAAAACTTAGCCATGACTTTGAAGAGACAAATTTAATAAGTTCATCGTCTTATTTTTAAGAAAATGATATTTTATCTGTTTTTTGCTTACTATCTTTTTTTTTTTTTTTTAGGTTAATGCTGACATATCAGAATCTTAACTATTTCACAGCAAAGATTACTGAAAGGTGTTAGAATGCATGATGACCAGAATAAATAAATTTTTGTTATAAATCGTGCATATTTATATAAATGAGTTTAGAAATATATTTATGTTAAAACCTAGCCACAGTATCATTTTTGTGTTTTGCTTTTTGTACTTATCATGAAATATGTTCTTCTCCACAGTTTCGAGAGGTATTTACAAATTCCACGATGGATTCTGATTATGGGCAGACTGTAATTGGTAAAGCCAGGTAAGTTTGCTATGGACGGATGGGGTATTTTGGAGGCAGATGTGTGTTTGCCTGACTATAGCTGGAGATATACAGAAGACAACTGAGAAGGGCTGTGAGTCATTTCAGGACCTTAGGCTTGATTTAGTGGACAATAGGGAGTTAATGAATGGAGGATGATGATAATAACAGCAATAGTGAGACGTGCTGGAGTCAGCCAGGCCTGTGTCTGAACCCTGGCTTTGCTCCCTGCATGACAGGACAGGTGTTTAACTTTTCTCAACCTTGTTACCTCACCTGTATAATTGGGATAATCTGATTTACTACTGCCCTAGAAACTTGTGAGGAGTAAATGAGATACTGTTTGAAAGATGCCCTGTGCACGGTGGTGGGCACATAGTGGATTTCAATATGTGTTAGTTTCTATTTCCCAAACAGCTTGTGGCACCACAGGGTCATTTGGGGGAGTTTCCTGAAACTGTGGCACTCCCTTCATTCTTAAGGAGTTACTGAAAGGGAGCCGAGGTGTTTGGAGGCAGACATTTACCTGTGAGCTCAGTGTCCTGTAGGGAAATACTTCTACCTCTTGAGGGCCATTGCAGGATGAATGGACCTGGGTCTCACCCAAGAAGTCTTCTTAGGTTCCAACTCACAATGTTGTCTCTCTACTCTGAATCCCCAAGCTCTTTACTTACTGTGCAAATGTTGGAATTGGAAAGGTCCTTAGAATTTCTCACTCCCAAACCTCTCTTTGAACAGAGGAGGAAACTAAGGCTAAGAGAAGCTGTGGCTAGTCTAGGGTCATGAAAGATAGCTGGTGTCCAACGTGAGTCTAGACCTCAGGTCCTTTAACCCCAAGTCTAGTGCCCTCATCGTGTGCTCTACACTTTTTTTTGTCTCTTAAGTGAACAGTGGCTCCATTATTTAATTGTTCCATGGGTGTAATGCCTTGTCTCCTAAACTGGATTATAAACTAATAGGTTCTTTGAATTAATAAATTATGGATGGTGTTTTCTAGCCCCAGTGCAGAAGTATGCCTTAGACTTCTGATCATTTTCGACCTATGTAGAATAACCTGTATAAAGAACCACTGTCTGGCTATCCTATACGTTCCACTCCCACCCTCCCGATTCTATCATGAATGAATTGTGGCAGAAAAGTTAAAAAAATTTTTAGACTAACCTTTGAGGTGACTGTTTCTAAAAATGGAATGTGGTTCCATGTTTTGGATTTTCTTACTTGTTCTGAGGAGCTAACGTGGCTTCAAAGATGTCCTAAATAGGTTGGCTCTTTTTTCAAGCATCTGTGCTTATTCAAAAGTCAAATGGAGTATAGAGAAAAATTTGGACAGGTAACCTGTATTCCGAGTCTTAAAAAACACACACCCACAAGGTAGGGAAGAAGTTTTTTAGAGTCTTTTTTTTTTTTTTTTTTCTCTCTCTGTCAGTGGTTCTATCACTTGATCCCCTCTGGACGATGAGAGAATTAGAACTTGGCACAGCTGTTCTTAGGACTCCAGTCTGCACTGTTGATGAGAGAGAGAGAGAGACAGATGACAGACAGAGAGAGAGAGAGGCAGACAGACAGACTATGACAATATCTTGTTTGTAGCAGGCCCTCGATATTTGGCTATTTCCCACAGTACCATACCTCTTTGCCTCAGTTCTTCTCTGGGTCACGTGTGACCTGGTCCAATCCTGTACCCATTCTGAAGCTGTCTGCTGACTTCCTGGTCTTTTCTGGGAATGACCCAGTCTTTGTATGGCTGGTTACTGCTTTCTCCATGCCCAGGGAGGAACACATGCCCCTCTGTCTTTCTCAAACTGCAAGTCTGAAATTTAAAAGCTCAGCAAGAGATACTCTTTCTGTTCTAGGAAAAGTGATTACTTAACAATTTCAGATGTTACTTGCTCTACTTCTGGTTAGCTCCAAGCTTCTGTATCCTAAAAATGATTACCCACAAATTTCCTAAGTAACCTCCAACAGGACATTGTTTTAGCCATAGGTTTCTTTGTAAGCACATTTAATAGAGATCTCGGGGCCCGTAAATTTCCATCTTATTGAAGCCCGGTCCTCCATGCTTAGGCCCCAGTTGTGGAGAAAGGGCAGTGGATCAGGACAAGGACTAGGAGATTTGAGGGTCTGGGAGGTTAGGAGACCTATTCGTTGATCCTTTGGTTCAATTCAACAAGTGACACTGATTCATTTCCTTTTTAGCACATCTCTTCCAGCAAGATCTGGAATACGTGCTGACAAGACTGTTGAAGTTTCAGTGGTCAACATTTTTGTAGAAACTACAAAAAATGATGAGCGTAGTGTGTCTGCACTAATTATGAAGGCACTTGAAAATGGTAAAAGTGGCATTGAAAACTATACTGGTAAGCATTACATAATTTCACTCAAAGTTTGTCTAAAGACCTACCTTCCTTTTTGTAAACCTGACAATTACATGTGAGAAGGAGGAAGAAGGACTGTATCATTGCATCCACAGATATCTCTGTATTTCCTTTTGACTAGTCCATTCTTCTCCCTTTTCTTTTCTTGCTTGACTTCTATGCCTTCTTTCCCACCATCTCCCAATTTAATCAAACTTGCCACTTTGTTTCTTTTCTTGGACAGTACAAATGACCAGAGAAATAGTCCCTGGACAGGGAAAAATGAAGAAAGGAGAAAAAAAGAGGGCTTTACACCAAGTTATAGCTTTCCACATGATTACGGAAAGTTTTACCGATACAGTTTGCCTTGAGGTTGACATGCAAGCAAGCCCACAGAGCAGCTGTAACAATTGGCATTGGCTGTGTTATAAACCTCTCCAAAACTTAATAACTTAAAACAGCCATTTATTTACTGCAACCCCATAATTCTGTAGGTCAGAATTTGGGTTGGGTTCAGCTGGCTGTTCTGCTGCGTTGGGGTCGGTGTGGCTGGTCTCTTGTGAGCTCACTTAAGCATCTGCCATTAGCCACTCAGTTGGCTGGGGGCTGACTGATCAAAGATCACTCTGCAGGACAGTTTGCCTCTGCTCCACATGGTCTCTTGTCCTCCAGTAGGGTAGTCCTGAAGGGTTTCAAGAGCAGTAAGAGGGAAAGTTTCAATGCACAAATGTTTCTCAAGTCTATGCTTACGTCACGTTTGCTATTGTCCCAGTGGCCGAAGCAATCCACGTGACCTAGCACAGTGTGGAATACCCCTTCCAAAGGGTATGGGTACAGGAAAGCATGAATAAGTTGGCACCAGCAGCCATCAGGAATTCCTCAGAAGTGACCTGCTAGGGCCAGCCCTGGTGGAACTTTGTGCAACTATTTCTCAGTCCTGGTTGCCAATCCAAAGGGTTACCATTGATGGGACCATCCATCAACCAGTTGTTGAGCTGCAATTTATTTGACTTCTGTAGCATTTGACCCTGGTATCCTTCCCTTTCTGAAATCTTCTCCCTGGGCCTCTGCCCACCACTCTATTAATCCCCGACCTGACTCTCCTGTCCCTCTTTTTGCCCCTCTTTTGCTTTTTAATGATTGTAACCTCCCTGGCTTAGTTTGTGAAAACTTATTTCTCTTTTTGCAAACATAACCCAATCCTGCTCATTTACAGTTTTCTTTTCTCTTTCTTCACAATTTCACGAAGATTCTCACTGTGCTCTCACCTGGGATGTAAATGCTCTGGGATGAATTCTGTCAGAGCAGATGGGGGCTCCCCAGTGCTGTGCCCCCCTCCTCGGGCTTCTGTCCCCCCTTAGCAATGTTCATTCAACTCTTCCTGCAGAAGAGACTGAAGAAAATTCCCATCATACCTAAAGTCTGGACCATACAGCCCAGTGTTTGTTTAGGAGTTGTTTCATGGGGCTGTCTCTGGGCTCAAACGTGTCACTCTACAAAGATGGGACCCAAGTTTATATGGCTACTATGCCCCTTGTGGAGCTCTCGTGACACAGTGGTTAGGACCTTGGCTGCTAACCAAAGTGTTGGCAGTTCAAATCCACCAGCTGCTCCTCGGAAACTCTGTGGAGAAGTTCTACTCTGTCCTATAGGGTCGCTATGAGTTGGAATCGACTTGATGGCAACGGGTTTGGTTTTTTTTTGGTTTGACACCCCTTGTAAAACCTAGCACAGATCTTGAACTTGTGCATAATTGCTTTGCACTGATTGAGTTAATTTGGATTGAAAAACATAAGGAAGCCACCATGGAAGGGAGGACTGGGGAGCTGGATTTGAGAATCCCAGATTTTCATTTGGTAAATCCCAAAACTTATTAAAAGGGTAATTATAACAGTGATGGATTGGGGTGCTTTGCAAATTAATCTGTCCATATATCTAGCTAAATGTATTTTTGAATCACTTGTGCCCTCCACTTAGCACAAAGTCAGTGTGAGTACCATGGTTGTAAAACGAACGCTGGAGATGACTGCAGTGATGGTTTACAATGTGTATGCGAAGATGGGCTCCAAAGACCTAACCCACAGGTCCCTTTCTGTTTGAGTAAGTGTTCTACCTGCTTCTTAATGCCCTTCACAGCCCCTGCTCTCTCTCCTTTTGCATTGGCTTTACTGCTCAAGTTTCCACGTGCATTTCAGAATCTGGGCTATGTGAATGTGGGTTAGATATTTGCGCCTGGACTGGGGCCTTGACTGGGGGCTGGTAAGGCAGCCCCTGGCAGCTTCACAGGGGGCATGTCCTGTGAGCAGCCCATGAGCACTTTCAGATGTCCTCGTTTTACCTAGAAAAGGCAACGTGAGAAAGATTGCATTTTGTGACATGTCACTTTGGGGTTGAAAAGATTGTTTCTGAAAATTACCCGGAAATCACTCTTGTTTTCAAGGGTTGCCTTCAACCTGTCCCAGTAACTGCAATGAAACGTACAACAAGCAATGCTTACAGAAGGGTGATGGCCGCTCCTATAACTGCGTGTGCCTGCCAGGCTACCAGGACAAATACGGAATCTGTGAAAAGTAAGGGAAATCACTCTTCTTTTTTTTTTTTTTTTTTTGGTCTTACCATACCTAGAGATAGGTAAAAAGGATAGAGCTTGCAACATATATATGAGTTAGAGTGAGGAAGCTGGTAAATTGGCATAAGTTGGCAGATGAAGAGCATCATCATAAATAGTTTTTGAGCTTCCTCTTTGCACTAGGAACCACACTAGTTAATACCTATCACACAATCACAATAGCACCAGAACAGTATTATTTCTCCCTTTGCAGGTGAGGAAACTGAGTCTCAGAGAGTTGAAATAACATGCCCAAGCTCACGTGGCAGCAAGTTTAAGGGACAGAGCCACGTGGCCTCATAGCCTGAGGTGTCCCACCATGCTCCATGCCTCTTGGGATCAGCTTTGCCTGAATCGTAGAGTATCTTCTGGGAGCTCAGAAGTTAGAGCGTTCAGTCAGTAACAGATGAGACCACCTAGGATTGTATACCTCCCTCATCTTTCCAGAGCCCCATGGAAGGTGTACAACTGGAACAAAGGGAGCATAAGGAAGCACAAGAGGCACAAATGGTCAAGTGCTCAACTAGTAGCTGAAAGGTTGGTGGTTCCAACCCACCCAGAGGCTCCTCAGAAGACAGGCCTAGAAATCTACTTCTGAAAGGTCACAGCTTTGAAAATCCTGTGGAGAAGTTCTACTCTGCACACATGGGGTCTCCATGAGTCAGAATCGGTTCAACAGCAACTAAGAACAACAAGAAAGAACAGGGAAAATAGAAGGAGCAAGGGAGGAAGAATGAAGGAAAACTCATTGCTGAAGTGATTCTGGCTCATGGTGGCCCCATGTGTTACAGAGTAGAACTGCTCCGTAGGGTGTTTTTGGCTGGAATCTTTACAGAAGCAGATCACCGGGCCTTTCTCCCGGGGAGTGGCTGGGTGGGTCCAAACAGCCAATATTTAGATTAACAGCTGATTGCAAACCACTTGTGCCACCTGAATGGGACCCTGAATGAAGGAAAGGAAGGACGAAATGGAGATGGGTGGGGTGGGAGCTCTGACCTGCTCTCCTACAAAGGCCTTTTCATGTGATTTCCTATTCATGTATTTTAGGTGTCCATTTGGCTACAGTGGAGTTGACTGTAATGACAGTGAGTATAAAATCTTGCTTTGTTATTTAAACATTTGAGAAACAAATAAAAACCATATTCAAAATTTTGCCTGGTCCTCCAAAATCTCTGGCTCCCTTCATAAAGACGGAGAAAATCTGCCTTCTGTTTGTCTTCTGGGTCATGCCGTCCCATGCCTGCCCTGGCCGAGCCCAGCCCAGGTCATGGGCAACAGTACCTCTGATGTAGGAAATAACAGACTTCAGCCCATAGGGTGAGCTGGTGCCTCTGTGCTTGCCCCAGACCAGAGAAGAACGTCCCCTGATGTCTTCTAACCTTACTTTCATTTCCTACACTAGGTTAAATATATGTTTTCTGGTACTAGAGAAAAAAACAAACAAACAGTACATTCCAAAAATGTTGATGGTTACAGGAAAGCAGAACTAGAAACTTAGACATTTAAATACTCAAATCTTCCCTTTGTCTCAGAGCTATGGATTGGTGTGGAATGTGTTACTGCAAATTCAGTTGCTTTGTTCTCTCCCCCTCAGCCCCATCCCCACCAGAATGGAGCAATACTAACTTTATATTTCAATTTTTACATAATGAACTAAACATCAGTGATCCGAGGTGAAGGAAAGAGTATTACTGCTGGCCTTCCAGCCAACTACAAAGTTAGTGATAAGAAATTCTCTCCATTTCTGCCGTATTGTGTTGCAAAGATGAATTTGCTAAGTCATGTCTTCCTTCTGGTCCTCCACTTTCCACACCTATAAAGTGAGAGGTTTGGACCAGATGACCTTAGAGCTCTTTTGCAGACTATGTTGTTGTGTGCCATTGAGTCAAGTCAATTACGACTCATAGCAACCCTATGTGACAGGGTAGACCTGCCCCATGGGGTTTCCTAGGCCGTACTCTTTACAAGAGCAGATCACCAGGTCTTTTCTCCTAGGGAGCCACTGGGTAGGTTCTAACCACCAACCTGTTGGTTAGTGGCTGAGTGCTTAACCACTGTGCCACCAGGGCTCCTTACTAATGGTCTATTAAAAAAAAAAAAAAAAAGCCATTGCCATTGACTTGATTCTGACTATAGTGACCCTATAGGATAGAGTAGAACTACCTCATAGGGTTTCCAAGGCTTCAGTATTTATGGAGGCAGACTATCACATTTTTCTTCTGAGGAGCGACTAATGGGTTCGAACTGCTGACCTTTCGGTTAGCAGCCTAGCACTTAACCGCTGTGCCACCAGGCTCCTTCCTAATGGTCTATGGCCCCCATGAATCCAGGTTGGATGTGGCATATGTAGCTGTCACGTAACAGAAAAAGATAATTAGAGGGGTCTGGCAGCACACAGCGTTGGAAACCCTATGGGGCAGTTCTACTCTGTCCTATAGGGTCACTGCGAGTCAGAATTGACTCGACGGCAATGGCTAGAGTGGAGCTTAGAAGCCCTGGTGACACAATCGTTAGGTGCTTGGCTGCTAACTGAAAGGTCAGCAGTTCAAACACGCTGCTGTATGGGAGAAAAATCTGGCAATCTGCTCCCGTAAAGATTTCAGCCTTCTCTGTCCTATAGGGTCGCTGTGAATCAGAATCAACTTGTCAGCACACAACAACAGCAACAGAGCAGTGCTGTCCAATAGAAATATGATGTGAGCAGAAAAAAGAAATATAATGTGAGCTACATATTTAATTTTAAACTTAAAAATTTTTAAGTGAAATTAATTTTAATATATTTTATTTAACCCAACATATCCCAAATATTATCATTTCAACATGCAATCAATATAAAAAAATTAACAAGATATTTTACACTGTTTTTATACTAAGTTTTTGAAATCTAATGTGTATGTCACACTCCTAGCCACATTTCAAGTGCTCAATAGCGCTGGACAGAGCAGATCTTACTGGAGGAGAATGGGTGGTAACGAGCTCTCAGACTCCTCCTTCACCATTTCCATCAAACTATTACCTGCCTTCTATATTAGTAACATGGCAGTCCCTGGGTGGCACAAATGGTTAAGCACTAGGCTACTAACTGAAAGTTTAGCGGTTTGAACCCCCCCAGAGGTGCCTTGGAAGAAAGGCCTAGCAATCTACTTCCAAAAGTTCACAGCCATGAAATCCATATAGAGTGCAGTTCTACTCTGAAACAGGTGGGGTCGCCATGAGTCAGAATTAACTCAATGGTAACTGGTACTGGTACTATATTAGTAACTAGTTTAATCTCAACATACTTTCACCAGCTCAGTTGTTAGCCTTATCAGTAAGGTGAGGTGTGGTGGGCAGGCAAAGGCAGGAGAGGTAAGGATGGAAGAGTGGACCTCGGTTGAGATCTCACCCCCTCAGAAAGCCCAGGAACACCCTACCACCTTCAGCTTCCTTTGTATTTACGGGTCACTGAATGACAAAGGGTGAGCTTCTTTTACCTGGCAAGGCAGTCTTTCCTGATTGAGTTCTGGAGGACACAGTGAGGGCAAAAGGAGACAAGCCACCCACCAGCCTGGCCCTGGAGGAGGCATGGAGGCCAGAGCCTGATGCTTCTCACAGACAGGAGTCACTGGGAACACACGCATATACCTATGCAGTAGATAGCTGGGAACCTGCTTGTTGGGAGCCATTTCTACCCTTCTCTTGCCTTGCAGAATTTCAGCTGATCCTCACCATCGTGGGAACCATTGCTGGCATCCTCATTCTCGGCATGGTGACTGCACTTATTTTCTCATCAAGGTACGAAATGGAAGTGTCCCTTTCCTGGGTCGCAGCACCATCAGCATTGCACCCTGGTTTCCAAACATACATGCCTTTCCCACACAAGAGAAGGGAAATAAGGGTAGGCCTCTCTAAATGCCAGGAGCTCTGGTGGCTCAGTGGTTAAAGAGCTCGGCTGCCAACCAAAAGTTGGCGGTTCGAGCCCACCAGCTGCTCTGCAGAAGAAAGATGTGGCAGTCTGCTTCCGTAAAGATTACAGCCTTGGAAACCCTATGGGGCAGTTCTACTCTGTCTTAAGAGTCGGAATTGACTCGACAGCTGTGGGTTTGGCTGGTCTGGTCTCTAATGCCAGTTGCTTTTCTTTTTCTTAATTTTCTTCTGCTTATGTAAGCAAGACATGATCATTGAAGAAAACCTAGAAAATAGAGAAATGTATAAAGAATTACAGAACAAAAAAATCTCCCACAAATCCCACCATCGTAAGGCAACTACTACTAACATTTTGGCATATATCCCTCCAGGCTTTTTTCTGTTTTTTTAAATGATATTATATACTTGATTTTGTATTGTTTGTGTTTTGTTGAGGTTTGTTTCTTTTTGCTTAACACTATATTATGACATAGCAACCATTTTCTTATGGCATAAAAAGCTCTTTGTTAACAGTATTTAGCTCCCCTTACGTTGGTAGTACAGTGGTTATGTGCTTGGCTGCTAACTGAAAGATTGGTGGTTCGAACCCACCAGCCGCTCCTTGGGAGAAAGATATGGAAGTCTGCTTCTGTAAAGTTTTACAGCCTTGGAAACCCTATGGGGCAGTTCTACTCTGTCCTATAGCGTCGCTGAATCGGAATCAACTAAACCGCAATGGGGTTTTTGGGTTTTATGTTGTCAGACATTATTTTCGTCAAGTCATTCATTCTCTTGCTCAGGACCCTGCTGTAAATGGTCTAAAATCAAACTCAACTAAGCCCCCTAGCTTTAAAAAAAGGTAGAAACATCATCTCTGTATGTCTATTTCTTAGCTTGGTGCCTTAAGATCTCTTCTCTTTAGGAAGGGGCAATAGTGCCCATTCAGTCAGTCAGTATTTATTTATAATTTATTATTTATAAATAATATTTATTCAATATTTAATACTACCAGGTGCCATCAAGTTGACTCTGACTCATGGTGACCCCATGTATGTCAGAGCAGAAATGTGCTCCATAAGGTTTTCAGGGGTTGATTTTTCAGAAGTAGATGGTTGGGCCTTTCTTTCGAGGCATCTCTGGTGGACTTGCCACCAGCCTTTCAGTTAGCATAACCCAGGGACTCCACTTAATATTTAGATACGCTGAATTTGTGAGAGAATGCTGTTATTCCTATTCTACTCTAAATATGCCAAGATCTTACCTCTATGGGACTCTGCTTTGATAAAAACCAGCTATCTTTTTTTAATGTCTAGCTCATATCTTATATTTTGGCCAAATAGGTCATTTTATACTAAAATGTAAGAAGATAAACATATTTTAGACTCCTATTTTGTTTCTTCTTCTTTTCTATTTTGATATTCTCTCTTCTCCCAGGAAGCAAATCTGGGAACCAGAAACACAAGCACCCACACCTTCTCTGATTTTCCTTCTCCAGGGAGAGAGCAAGAGCATCCCTGATTCTGAAGCAAGGCTGTCTCCTCCTTTCTTAGGAGGACTGATGGGCCATCCTGGGTCCTCAAGGTCATCATGGGACGTCCTTAGAACCTTGTGACCCTGTGGCAGCCATGTTTCTCAGCCCTCCTTCAGAACCAGGTTTGCTCTTAGCCCAGTTACAGATTCATGGTTCTTGGAAACCCACCCAGAATTATACTTTTCTTGTCCGTTTCAAAGGGAAGGGAAGCCTCTCCTCAGCCACCTTAGACAGGAGTTTTGTCAAAGGGCAAGACTTCTGTTGTGGGCTGGGCTGGCCCTCAGGGTCACAGGGCGAGTGGGTCTTCCTTTACTATGCTCCCAATGTGACAGAGGGTGACTACTATCCTGGGAGTGCTTCCATAAGCCACAAGCACCATGAAACCCATCCTACCATCCAGGGCACTGCAGGGGCGGGATCATAGCCTGTGTGCCAGGACTGAAGGTCATGATCCATCAGGGTTATCTGGGGTCAGATGCCTTCCTCACCTGCATGAATTACTTCCCCTTAGTTTTGAAGGCTTAGACTTGAGATCCTTGAATCATCACAATAGAACATGGGAAACTCCTATTTCTTCTTTCAAGACTTTTAGAACTTGAACTTATTTTACCCATTGAGGTGCTTCTGTAGACAATGACTTTGCTTGAATGAAAAATTGTTTCACAAGTCATCTTTTTCTCTTTGACTTCTATTATTATTTCCATAAGCAATTCAAAAGCATACGTGAGAATATTGACATTATTGGCAAAATTTGAATAGAGCCAGTGGACTTAGATGGTAATGTTGGGTCCATGTTAACATCCTGATTTTGATGGTTACACTGTGCTTATGAGGAGACTGTCCCTAAACTTAGGAAATACACACCGAATGAAGTATTACAGGTAGGTAATGGGGCATCAGGTCTGCAACTTAATCTCAAATGGTTCAGAAATGTCAACAGCTGGGGAATCTGTGTGATGGGTATATGGGAGCCCTGTGTAATATTTCTGTAACTTGCATGTACATTTTAAATGATTCCAAAATTAAAAACAAATTTTAAACATGAACATTTACTTCAAGGCACCTTCTGCCACTGTCAGATCCTAATTCCTGTTACCAATTTCAGATCAAAGAACAAAAAGAAGAATACTGAAGAACAGAACTTGATTGAGAACAGCTTTCCAAGTCTACGGCTGCAGCCGACAGGAGTCACCAACTTCGGGGCAGATGGAAGCATCTTCCCTAAAATCAGGGTGGCGGCCCCCAGAGACTCTCAGTTCCCAAATCCATATGTAAACCCGAAAGGTATGTTTCACTCTGACTATTAGCTGAGTTGATGGGCTTTCCCTTTGGCTTTTCAGAGTGAAATGCCCCAGGGCAGGGTATGGACTTGGCTAGTATATCTTCACCAAGCCCGGGCTGCCCTGCTTGGGGGGGTTGTTTGTTAGTTTATTTTATCAAAAGAGAAAGATCAAGGAGGAAGCTCCCTGCTATTGTAAATAAATAAACCAGTTGCCGTCAAGTCAGCTCTGCTATTTGTAAGTAAACTCCTTGCCTGCAAGCCCATTCAGACTCATAGGGACCCTACAGGACAGAGTAGAACTGCCCCATGGATGGGGGTATGGAAGGGGCCCTGGTGGCCCCGTGATTAAGAGCTCAGGCTGCTAACCAAAAGGTCAGCAGTTTGAATCCACCAGCTGCTCCTTAGTTTTGCTCTGTCCCATAGGGTCACTATGAGTTGGAATCGAGTCAGAGGCAATGGGTTTGGTCTTTTTTGTTTTTTTTAATCTTTACAGAAGAAGACAGCCACATCTTTCTCCCACGGGCCTGCTGGTGAGTTTGAACTGCCAACCTTTCGGTTAGCAGCTGAGCACAAATAACTACCGTAAAAAAAATTTTTTTCTTGATCCCTAACACGTGACTTTGTACATGCCATTTAATTTCTCTGGCCTTTGATTTCCTCATCAATAAAAGAAAAGGCTTAATTTAGATGCCCTTAAGTCTCCTTTAGGAGTCCCTGAATGGTGTAAACAGTTAATACGCTCCGCTGCTAATCAAAAGGTTAGAGGTTCAGGTCCACCCAGAGATGCCTCAGTCGAAACAGCTGACGATCTACTTCAGAAAAAAAAAAAAAAAAAATCAGCCATTGAAAACCCTACAGGGAAATAGTTCTACTCCGACACACATGGAGTTGTCATGAGTCTGAATCAACTTGGCAGCTGGTTAAGGTCCCTTAAAATTATAAACCTCTATAGAAATGACTCCAGTGATTGTGATGGCAGTCCTCAGACTATTTAAGGTCCAGGGTCCAAGGTCTAGGTCAGGCCAGAAAAAGGACGTAAACATGGTTTCCAGCCAGGCTGTCTAAGAACAAATCTCTCTTTTCCTTGCCTAGACTTCAATTCTAAAGAGATAAGACAAGTTAGGCTGGTGATATTCATTTCCCTTGGGAGGCCTTTCCAGGAGAATAGATTGTACTCATTAGATTTTTATTGGATAATCATAGCTGGCATTACTTAGCGTGATCTGAATGAAATTTCGTGAGGAGGAAGTCTGTCAGAGACGATGCTATGGAACGTGATGGGGGAGGAGTGACGAAAGGACTGGGATGGAATGAAGGAAGGATGGTGAAGGATGAGGAGGAAGGGGACCAGGAAAGAGATGAGGAAAGAAGAGAGGCAAGGGGAGAAATGACAAAATAAAATAAAGGAAGAGTAGGGGAGAAAGAAAAGCCCTGATGGCGCAGTGGTTGAAGCGTTAGACTGGTAACCCAAAGGTCGGCAGTTTGAAACCATCAGCCGCTCCGCGGGAGAAAGATGTGGCATTTGTAAAGATTTACAGCCTTGGAAACCCTACAGGGTCACTATGGGTTGGAATCTACTGGATGGCAGTGGGTTTAGGGGAGAAAGGGAGAGAATGTGGGTGGGGTAGGGACAGGCTTGGTAAAGTAGAAAAATAAAGAGGATAAGAGGCCCGGGGTTGGGAGGGTGGCAGGGGGAGGCTGAGGAAGGGAGGCAGAGGTTCAGGCTCTGCTGAGTAAGCATTTTGCTTCTGCAGACCCTCATGAGCAGCACTCACCTTTGAGGATCTTTTTTTTTTTAAATAATATTTTATTGTGTTTTCAGTGAAAGTTTGCACAGCAGATTAGGTTCCCATTTGACAATTTCTACATAAGTTGTTCAGTGACATTAGTTACATTTTTCACTGTGTCAACATTCTCATTAATTGAGTTCTGGTTGTTCCGTTTCCAGTACTCTAATTTCCCTGCTACCCCCCGCCCCACCTTGTCTACTCGTCTTTGCTTTAGAGTAATTGTTGACCTTTTGGTCTCGTATAGATGGTTTTTTAATGGATCCTCGTACTCACCTTTGAGGCTCTTAATGGCTCCTCAGCACTTAGAATATTCTGGAAAAACCTGGCTTATTTTTATTTTGAGATCCCATGGTTATTTTAAGGAGCCCTGGTGGCGCAGTAGTTAAGTGCTCAGCTGCTAACTGAAAGGCCAGAGGTTTGAACCCACGGCTGCTCTGAGGGAGAAAGATGTGGTAGTCTGCTTCCGCAAAGATTTACAGCTTTGGAAACTCTATGGGGCAGTTCTACTCTGTCTTAGAGGGTCACTTGTGAGTTGGAATCGACTCGACAACAGTGGGTTTGGTCTGGTTTTATGGCTTCTTTTGGACATAAAATTTCCTTTAGCCATGGAAGTCTAAATGTTCAATGTGTGTGCAAAAGGATGACTTGTGCAAAATGCACTGTGCTGGCTCAGACACACGGTCCAGCCAGCAATACCCTGGAATGGGTGTCCTGTGGGTGGGCCTGCTGGCCCCACCTAAGGTGAAGTTTAATGATCAAGCTCATTAAAAACCTCCTTTCCGCCTCGTTAGTGGGGCACTTACTTCACCAACTATAAAGTATAACTGCTCAAGGGAATCCCTTCGATAGTAGAACAAGCTCAGGATTTAGAGTCAGACAGACCTGGGTTCAAATCCTTGCCCCTTTCTGTCACAGGCTGTGTGATCTTGGACAAGTTATTTGACTTCTCTGGGTTTGATTTCTCATCTAAGAAATGAATAAGATGAAGCCTGCCTTGTAGGATAAAGATCAAATAAGCTAATATGTGTAAATACCCTATACAATGTCTGGATCTAATTTGAATAACAGTATTCAAGTAATGTTAATAATTTATGGATCTAAAGCTTCTCATATGTATCTGTTGGAATACCTCTTTTCTAAGAGTCTTATTTCTCTTTTGTCTAGAATGGTAAAATCTGGGACCATCCATGGCCCCAACCCAACGTACAAGCCATTATTTTGAGTATTTAGAAAGACTAATGGAGAAGTGAGCACCTATGAAGACCTGGATAAAGACCTGGGCTCTGGTGTGTCTCTTCCATCCAACATCTTCCAGCCTGTCTGAATGGAAATTGTGAATGTTTGCAATGAATAGATCTTGTTTGCTAACTAAGTACCTATGTAATTAAATGCACAGAGATGCTATTAGTACTTTTAAGACAGTTGATTTTCTCAAATCTGTACCAGATTCTAAGACAACGGTTAGTTTTTGTTTTCCTGGAAAGCTCTCCAGCATTGTTCACTCCTGAGAGAATTGTGCTCTTGATACATACAGTGAGCAAAGCCTCCTGGGAAATTCTTAAACTTCAGCTGGGAAGGTCCCAGGGGATGGGAAGAGATTTCATCTTTTAAGGTTCTCAGGTATACTCTCTGACAAGTTAAAGTAGGGACATTACTTCTATCCCCCAAATGTAGGGATTTTGGCTAGAATTCATTGAATCGCTGGAGGCTTGTGACCTGGCCTTACACGAAGAAGACAGAAAAGAGACATGTCTCTCAGCTTTTAGAGGAGGAGTGAGGGGGAATCCAGGAACTTTTGGATGTTAATTAGAAGGCTTGCACTAGAAATGTCCACCATGGGGTGCATTCTAGAGTTTTTGAATTGCCAGTAGGTGGGAGGGGCAAGAGAGAACCCATGACCAAGAGTAGGAGGAAGAGAGACAGAGGGAAATTGGGGCTTGGAGAATGAGCAAGGGGGAAGGGACCCAGGATGCACACTCTTCCCTGGATTCTGCTGCCCCATCAGCAAATGGACACTTCCTCTAATGTGTGCCCCACCCAAGACTCAGAACTGAGGAAAAGGGGTGAAAACAAGAACTCCAGGAGCAAGAACGTTAGGTTGCTTTGAAATTGCAGGCATTCTGTTTGGCTGAAGGTGAGACGGGGAGCTTGTGCTCAGAAGCCCAAATGTCCAGCTCCCAGTGCAGACTCCAGGCACCTCACCAGGGCCTCAGCCTTCCCTGGTGACAGAGACTTGCCTGTGATCTCCAACACATGCCCAACCTAGAAGGGGGGGCAGTCGCACCCAGCCCAGGCTTTCTTTAATGTTAATTGTGTCCTTGTTTATGTCTAATGTCTGACCCGATTGCCAGTTTATTTTTATTTGTTGTTATTATTCATTCTTTTTTTAAATTATACTTTAGATGAAATTATTATTCATTCTTGACTGTTAACTGTGAAAGGTAAAATAATAAAGTGTCTTCAGTAGATCATGTCCTTTCTTGTATTTGGGGCTTTTGGTGATACACTCAACAATGAGTCTCACTTGAAATGGCCAAACATGACACATGGCAGACTGGGTTGATTAACATCTGCTGTCCTCATTAGGGGCTATTGGGTTACTCAAGGGAATTTTTTTTCAAAGTGTAATAGATATTTTTGACTCCTTCCCCTGTATGCATCCCACTCTTCTCCCATCATGAAGCAGCCGAGCATGGGTGGGACTGCTCCCACCACTAGCCCAAGCTAGTCAGTGGGATTTCATGCCTCCCTTGCCACAGTGATTGATTTAAGAGTGAGCATATGGCATAAGTGGATGTAATTAGGATAAAACCCAAACTTTGGTAGGAGAGAAAGTCTTTTCCTTCTTCTGTAGAGTGGGCTGAGGATGTGAGGCCTTGAACTGCTTCAGTGTTGCTGAGGACAAAGCTGAAGCATCTAGGAGGGAAGATGTGAGAGAACTGCAGAGAAATGGAGCTGGAACCCTGATCAAACCATACCTGAAGCCTTTGACTTTCCTGTTAGTCTACTTTGAGTAGTTTTCTTTTCTTTCCATTAGTTCATACTGTCATATTGCCACTGTAAGCATTCTCACTTGTATTTACTCTTCTGTTACCAAGCCTAGACAGTGAAGGGAATAAAAGACACATACCCTTATGAGCTATTAAAGCCCGCAGTAAAGACATTAGTTATCAACCAATCCGTTAACAACAGCAGAGTTAATTCGGGCACAA